GTGTCTATGGGAATGTTGGACCATTTGTGAGGTCAGGTACTGATGTTGAGGGAGGGGCTCGCAGTCTCCGCTCTAATTCATCCCAAAGGTGTTCTATGGGGTTGGGGTCAGGACTCCAACCCCATAGAACGGCCAGTCACGTTCCTCCACCTCAAACTCCCCCATCTATGTCTTTATGGACCTTGCTTTGTGCACTGGTGCGCAGTCATGTTGGAACAGGAAGGGGCCGTCCCCAAACTCCTCCCAATAGGTGACCGCGGAATATTTAGTAGCAAGGAAATTTCACGGAACACTTGAATCCAATGATTTGGAGTGGTGTCCCAATACTTTTGGTAATATAGTGTGGATATATATATATATTTATTTACACTGTATGACCAGTATTTGGGCAACCCACCAACGTAGGCTCTGGTATTTTCAGAGAAGGGTGTTGTCACTATTACAGCATATAAAGACATTGTAGACAATTGTGGGCTTCCAACCTTGTGGTAACTCTTTGGGGAATGTTGGTTAGTGTGCCAGCATGACTGTCCCATGGGTACAAAGCTAGCCATGGCCCAACCAGTTTGGTGTGGAGGAACTTGAGTTTCCGGCATGAAGACCTGAACTCAACACTACTAAACACATTTGACATGAATTGGAACTCCAATTGCAAGCCAGGTCTTCTCGTTCAACATCAGTCCCCCACAGTGCACTTTTTGGCTGCATAGGGCCAAATTCTCACAGATTAATGTAAAAGTTGTTGTTGTGCTCCTTACCAGAATTCCCAGATGATGGCGGAGAGTGCTTGTAATGACTTCGGATGGCACTGCTGTAAACATGGGATGGTTATGAAGAATGTTATCAGCACACCGGAGATACTTATAAAATCCCCAAATGCTAATTTTATTGAACAACTTGTCAAAAACAGAAACAAAATTTTGACAAATTGTTCAATAAAAGGAGCATTTGGTAATTCTATAAGGATCTCCAGTGTGCTGATGACATTCTTCATAACCATCCCAAATTCTCACAGAGGCACTTCAAATTCTTAATGCTGTTTTGGCCACTAGAGGAGGAGCACTCCATACTAATGCCAATGGTTTTGGAATGGGATGTCCAACAAGCTCATACAGGTGTGACGGTCAGGGGTCCTCAGACTTTTGGTCATTAAAGTCATATGGTGCATATTTATATTTATATAGAAATACACATTTTGTTGCTTTGCAATGGCCATGGTACATAGGTAGCTTATTCCAGCCATGAAATAGGAAATATTTAAGTAACTTAGAGGCCATTCAAATTCACTGAAGTAAATATCAGCCAGAGATTGTACTAAGAGACTCCGTCAACCTCAAAAATACTGGTATAGCAGTTGTGCTGAATATTTAAATGTGACTATGAAGTCTAGGGGGCGCCAGAGTTTTACCATCCTGTCCGGTGCACTCTTAGAGGGTTATTCACAAAGCTGTTCACTGTTCACTTAGGCTACTGTATGGGCTATTGTGAATAGCCGTACAGCAGCCCTTTGGTTCAAAGTGGCCGAAGCGAGCCGAAGGATCAGCCGAAGATACGGCTAGATCCTTCGGCAGGTAAGTGAATAACCCTCTAAGTGATCTTTTCGGACACCCCCCCTCTCTATGGTCAGAAACATTCCTCCCCTTATCTGCAGGACATGTGTGCGTTAGAGGAGGGATGTGGCCTTTACCCATCTAGTTTTAAAGGAATTTCCAAGTGAAAAATCAGATAAAATTATAATTATAATTATGGATAGTCTTCAGTGTGTTCCTGTGTCTGATGTAGGTTTCCTGTTCCTGTGTTTTGACCTGGATTGCTCTTGACCACTCTGATTGCTGCCTGCCTCCTGACCTTTGCCTGTTCACTGAATAAAATTATAACATGTGACGTTATGTGGATATACAGATAAAACAAGGTGTGCCACTTCAATTAGGGTTTAGCTCGCTTGCAAAAAATCTATTTATTGAATGGAACCTTCAAGCATGTTCTGTATCTGAGGCATCTGTGCTAAATCCACATCACCGTCCTTTCAAAATCATCTTTGGTCCCTACTTTGATAGCACAATAAAGACAGAAAATAATTAAAGATCTTACACCCACCACTCTGTAATTGTATGTTGAAAAGGAAGTTGCTATGAGTAACCCTCATGTTCTGTGTTCTGTTTTCAGGATCTTGTTCAGCAGGTCCAGTGGGCAAGGAGTTTGTCACTGCTTTCATGCAGAATTACCAGCTCTCCTACAGCACTCCCAACTTCCAGTTGTTCATTACTGCCTATTCCTCCCCCACTACTGTAACCATATGGATGAACAAGTCTAGCTTCAAACAAGTCCTGACGGTGAATGAGCGGACCACGGCCACGGTCCAAATTCCGAAGGGCGCAGAGTTGCCTGGTGTCACTTTGTCGTGCAATGTTATCGGCGTCAAAGCTGATAAAGATGTCTCAGTCCTGGCTATGAATTACAAGTCCCTGAGTGCTGACACCAGCATTGTGTACCCTGTGCAAGATCTCGGCACAGACTACTATGTGGTGACACCACAGGACGGCCCTAGTGATGCATTTAAGGAATTTTCTGTGATCAGCTCCCAGGAATCCACCAGTGTGGATATCTTCCTCAAAGGTGCAGTCACCTATCGACAGACTCTCTACCGAGCTGGCAGCAAGCTTAGTGTCGTCCTGGACCCTTATAGTGCCCTTCAGCTTCTTAGTAATGATGACCTGTCTGGAACCAGAGTTGTGTCTCAGAAACCTGTAGCAGTGTTGAGTGGACACACGTGTACATGGAAGAACTCAAAGTGTAACCATGTCTATGAGCAGCTCTTGCCAGTGACTAGCTGGGGTTCCAGTTTCATTATACCTCCTATATCTCTCCAGACCAAGTCTGACATCGTATTCGTGGTGGCTTCCACTGACAACACAAGGATTGAATACCAAGTTGAAGCAAAAACATCAAGCCAAATCCTAAACGCGGGGCAAACTGTTCAGCTGGAAGTGCCAGTCAAAAAGGCCATCTACCTTACCGCTAGTGCTGGGATTCAAGTTATTTACTATTGCACCGGCTGGCAAGATATTTACCGAACACAGTTTGATCCCATCCTGATGACTATCCCACCAGTAAGCAGCTATTGCAGTTCCTACTTCATCTATGGTCATCAAGAGTTTGAAAACTACGGCACCTTAGTGGCCAAGACTGCAGACATCTCTAAAGTAAGCGTCAATAAAGGCCCTGCTCAAGGTCTGACATGGTCCAACATCCCCGGTACTGATTACTCATGGGCAACTCAACAATTAGGCAAAGGTTTGAGCTTCCAGCTCACTGAGAATACTTCGCCATTCCTGCTGCTTTCCTTTGGCTTCATAAAGATGAATAGCTATGGCTCCCCAGCTATTTGCACAAATGGTGAGTTTCAGACTGTTCCCCATAAAATCAGTTTGTGTCATATTGCCACATATGATGGTAACGCCCAATAGAAATTCCAATGGCCAAATCAGGCTTAAATGTAGGTCGAGCCATAGGGAGTGATTAAAGCCTTTATTACATTTTTGGGGGTTAAAAAAGTCATCAAAAAATATTGCTGCCAGTTGTTTAGTATGCTATTGAAATTGTTGGGAATTAGTTTGTGTGGTACTAAAAAGATGAACAACTGCAAGGATTGTTTAATGTTTTGATTTCCTGGAAATACCTAAAGTTAGCTGATCTAGAAAAGATGGACGACAAATTTCTATCCTGTATCTTCACTTTTATTATTTGTCGGTTTGCTCTCTCTGTAGGTGGTTCAGCTTCAGGTCCATCTTGCAGCACCGTAAAGTGCAGAGCTAAGGAAAAATGCCAAATGGTCAATGGGAAACCAGTATGCGTCCCAGATTCAGAAGCCTACTGCCATGCCGTTGGTGACCCCCATTACCGAACCTTTGATGGATACTTCTATGACTTCCAAGGAACCTGCACTTACACCATTGCCAAGACCTGTAACGGTGACAAAAGCCTCCCGAATTTCAACATCGAGGCCAAGAATGAAAATCGAGGCAGCACTCGTGTCTCTTACATCAGTTATGTCAATGTAAAAGTCTATGACCAAGTTATATCTCTAGTGAGATATGAAAATGGTTTTGTGAGGGTAAGTTAAAATTGGAAAGTTGGGTGAATCAAACTTTTAAGTATATCCTGCAAAGCAAACCAATGTGATTTTGGATGCACCAATATTGTCATCTTTTCTTTCTCATTTCACTTCTCTTCAGGTGAATAATCAACGTCAACGCTTGCCTATCAGTCTGAACGATGGACAGGTCCGGCTCTATCAGTCAGGAGGTTCGGTCGTCATTGAGACTGACTTTTCTTTGAGGGTATATTATGACTGGAACTCAATGCTCAAAGTGTACATCTCCAGCAGCTTCTACGGAAGTGTCTGCGGCTTGTGCGGAAACTACAACGGAAACCCTTCAGATGATCTGATAACACCAGATGGAGCTAGGGCTCCTAATTTAATTGATTTTGGAAAGAGCTGGAAAGTGGAGGATGGAGACAGGTTCTGCTGGCACAACTGCAATGGTGAATGCAAGACCTGCCCTCTTGAAACTCAACAAACCTATGCAGGCGAGAAAAGTTGTGGCCTGCTGTCCAAAGCTCTTAATGGTCCCTTCCGTCAATGTCATTCGGTCATCGACCCAAAGCAGTACGTAGACAACTGTGTGTATGATCTGTGCATGAATGCCGGCTCCAAGCAGATCCTGTGCCAAAGTCTGAAGACCTATGCAGAAGCCTGCCAGCAAAGCAAGGTTGAAATTGAAGAATGGAGATCGCTCGCTGGATGCCGTAAGTATAAACAATTTGAGAAAACAAATTTTTTGGGGGGCAAACCAATAACGTCTTTGTGAGCACTGTGCAGAAAACCGGTTGAAGCATAATAGTGCTGTCCAACTTGTCTTCTTATTTTTATTCTAAACCCTAAAAAATAAAAAAAATGTATTAGTAAAGGGCAGTTGGGTCAAAGTCTTGATGTAGATCAAAAGCTTATGGAGTATGGAAGGTTTAAGGTGCATGGAAAGGTTAAAACACAGTTGGGTTCTTGTTTTTTATTTTTTACTGTTTATATCCTATTGGAGAGATTTTCCTTTGTTTTCTCTCCAAATTTAGAAAAATCCCCTCTGAGACAGCTGTCACCAGAACAGGTGTCCCCACTGTAAGATCTACCTTCTATTCCTGTTCTGGTGGCAACTTCAAATGATGGATTTTCTCTCCCTTGCAGTCTTGGTAACGATGGTCATCAGGACAAGTAGGGAGGGTGAGGCTCAGCTGGGGCGCAGAAAGTAAATAAAACCTGACAGGTGTTCTTATCCATCCCCAGGCTATTAAAAGGGAACATAAATTGGGCATAAAAAGCTAAAATAACTTAAGTACAATTCCTGATAAATAAGAAATCTTTTGCAAGTGAGTTAGGGTTGAGTCCTGAATGAGTGAGAAGCAAGATCACGTGCATTCGCACAGCAAAGTCTTTTCGTTGCTCGTAATCTCTCACATTGAGCTATTGAACAACCTGCATTTTGTATGGATGGAATCTTAAATCTCTCTGTAAAATGGTTCTCACTGATTCACGACTCAACCCTAACTCACTTGCATGTCTTCGAGCAGACATCCTGGGCTCCTAACCAGTGCCTCTCTCACCCGTGCAATGTTTAACGGCATCCTTGCAGTGCGGGCGGGGCCTAGTGGTTTCTTATTCATAATGTTTCCGGTTGTTCTGAAATGTTCAACAAACCCGAGGACCGGCGACAGGGAACGGCTCAGTGTCAACCAACATTGAACATTGATTTCAACATTGAATTCTCAACGAAATAGCCGCTGCGATGCTGTGATAGACTCACCACTTCGAACAAAGCTGTCGTAAGCAAACAATGTTGTAATGTCCACTGCTTCATTGTGACTGAATTGGCATTCCAGGGGGGGGGCGGCCTAGACACCTAGCTCGTCCCGCCCCATCACCACCATGTAAAGTGTACTACCTGATATCGCTTCTCGGCCTTTTGGCTAAGATCAAGTGTAGTATCAGTTTCAGAGGGGAAAAGCATGGACCTTGGGACGGACGGTTGCTTAGTACTGAAGGTAGGTGCTTGAGGCGACTCCTTTTGGAAGAGGGGGGAGTTTCCTCTGCACTATTGCCTACTGACTGAACGAATGCGAAGCTTGGTCGAGGCTGGAGGGTTGGGAGGCGGCAGAGCCCGTGGTGTTGTGCCCCCTGGGGGTGGCATCCCAGGGGTGCTCAGAAAGTCACTTGGGTATGGGACACCACATTGACTCACTGATGCACTTGGTCACACACCACCTTGCATATTCTGCACATCGCCTTATGGACAGGCCTTATGGCTAGTCCGGGGACAATATTTTTGCACTCCGGCCCCTAAGGCCTGTCAGCGTGGTGCACTGGCACTTTAGATTTATTTATAGCACTCTATGCACGATACTCGATTGGCCTGTTTTTGGCATTGACCCACAGATGCAGCGGGTGCAGGTTCCTTTCGGGGCCTTTTCACGATGTGGGGAGGAGATTCTGTGCCCTTATATAGGGTTCTCTGTCTCCTCCCACCCAGGGGGTTTCTCTTCGGGAGATCCCCCTACCTAGTACTAGGAGGGACCTGTTCCGGCAGGTCCCTGAAGGATCGGGGTCCGCCAGCCTTCGGGCTGGTGGACCAAAGTATCTCAACCCCTGTCAGGAGCCTTGCGCCCCGGGGGGTCGGGAATCGAGGTCCCTTCTTTATTGAAGGACCAAGCACCCTTGTGCACGTTTTTGTGTGCTGTGATTTCACAGTTCACTTTTTTTGTTCACAGGGGGAACTTGTTTTTCGATGCACGTTCCACGGGCTCTTAAAAGAAAAACCTGTTCTAAAAACGTCCGACTCCCTTCAGTCACCCTGTATAAAGAATTTATATCATCTTTCATCACATAAAATTCTGTATTGGAGAGCAAGAGTTTTAGCATTTTAGCTGGTGTCAAAATGATTAGAAAAGGATTGAGAAGTCAACAGTATAGTTCATGATGGTTTAAAATGTCTTGCCTGATGTAGTTATGGCAACGTAAGGGTACAGTTAATGACATGAGTATATATTTTAACTAAGTCAATGTTTTCCACAGCACTGCAATGCCCAGCCAATAGCGAATACAAATTATGCTCCAAGGGCTGTCCGGCCACATGTAACGACGATGCTGCGCCATCCGTGTGTTCTGGATCATGTGTGGAATCCTGCCAGTGTAAGGAAGGCTTCGTGCTTGACGAAGGGAAGTGTATATCCAAGGCCAGCTGCGGCTGCATCTACCAAGGAAAACTCTACGCTCCCAATGAGAAATTCTGGGGTGATCAAAAGTGTGAGCAGCAATGCACCTGCAACCCCACCACCAAGAAGGTAGAATGCAAGGCCACCCGCTGCAAGTCTTCAGAGAAATGCATGGTGGTGGATGGCATCCAGAACTGCTACCCACTGTCATATGGCACTTGCTCTGCCTCTGGAGACCCCCACTATGTCACCTTTGATGGGTTAAAGTATGACTTCCAGGGCACGTGCATCTACCAGCTTGTGGGAATTTGCAAGAAGTCGGATGATTTGGTGGACTTCCAGGTCAACGTTCAGAACGAATTCCGGGGAAGCAAAGTGGTGTCTTACACCTCCGGAGTACAAATCAAGTTGTGCAGTTTAGATATATCAATCAGCAGGGAGCACAAGAACAAGATTCTGGTGAGTTTTAAGTTTATTACATTTCTAGGTAAGGGGTTTTTAGCCTGTTTATCATTACATCGCCCCACCCCCACCCCCAATATGTTCCCATGCCCCCTTCACCATACTGTCCAAATCATCATCATCATCATCTGTCATATTGGGTTACAGGAGGACTTCAAAAGATGTAAGTTGCTTGTTTTTACATCTGATATGGATAGCTAGGAAAGGACAACTGAAGGAAAATAACAAGTACTCAAGCTTGCTGCAACTAGCTAGATGTCTGCTGTCAATGTTACTCGCATGTCACCTGACACATCAAATTGATTTTTCCACTTTGATTTCAAGTACAATTACACATTACATTTGTAGATTTTTACCTGAATTTCTTTTTTTACATTATTTAGACATTCAGTTTCATTCCCCCATCATTTAATTACCATACCCCAAGGCGATATGGAGGACCTAGGTTGAGAACCCTTGTTTCAGACAATTGTTGGCAATATTTTATGCTGCGGCTGGTTGGGAAGATTTGTGGAGGAGTATATCCAGCTTTGATCTGCTGAGCGATGTGGGCTTGTTTTTTTTTCTGGTAATTTAGGATTGGAATCTATTGTTTTTTACAATTCACTGTTTTTTTTCTCTACAGGTTAACGGAATTTTAACCAATCTGCCGTACATTGTTGACAATGGCAAGCTCTCTATATACAAACAAGGATATTCTGCTATCCTCCAAACCAGCTTTGGCCTTCGCGTGACCTACAACTGGGACAGTTACGTCTCTGTCACCCTTCCAAGCAGTTATGCGGGAGCCGTGTGCGGTCTTTGTGGTAACTTTGACAGTAAGAAGGAAAATGATCTCACAATGAAAAACAACCAGTTGGCCACCAAGCCAGTCCTCTTTGGAAACAGCTGGAAGGTGCAGAATGTCCCGGGCTGCTACGAAGAGGACAAGGGAGAGTGCTCCAAGTTAGCCGAACTGGAGCTACGCCATACTAACAACAAGCAGGGCTGTGGGATCATCAAAGATAAGACCGGGCCTTTCCGAGAATGTCACGCCAAGATTAACCCAGATGGCCACTACAAGAGCTGTGTGTATGACGCTTGCTTCTTTGACGACAGAGAAGATGTCATTTGCAAAATTGTTGCCAGCTATGCAGCACTGTGTCAGGAGGCCGGAGTCACCATATACCCATGGAGAACCAAAAAGTTCTGCAGTAAGTTGACCTGTAAAGTTCTCAAGGCTGGTTACTGTAGTATTTTTATTTTATTTTTAATATTTAGTCCTTAAAAAGTAAATATCACCTCCCAGTTATACATCGGTATCAGAATCAGTAATGCAAGAACTGAAGGGTACATTTAATCAATATAAATTGCTTTTACCCTGTGTTGATGGTAAAGCTGGACAAACATGCAACGATTGGCTTGGCCAAACTGATATGGGAAACCTTACAAGCGCAATACCAGGCAGTTTTTAAAGCATCCAAAATGCCAGTTAGGGGTGGCAACTATATCAGGGTTTCTACCACTTCTAATCCAGCAAACACTAACTATAACAGAAACCTACATTTTTGGAGGGTATTGCTCTACAAATGGACACATGGGGCACTTTATAGTACCTCAAATGTTCATACTGCCATAGGCCATGTTCACAATATCGTGTTCAGAAAATAAGTTTTCAATAATGAGCTACCAAAGTATAATATAATTGTAATACTGTATACACTGCATAGCCAAAAGTAAGTGGCTGCATCTCCAAATTGTTGAGTTCAGCTGTTTCCATTGAGGGGACTGTTAATGCTACAACATACGTTGTCCAAAATCATTGTAGACAACTGTTAACTTTCAACTCCTGGTAACAGTACAGACAAGGCTTTCTGTTCCAGCATGACTACATGTCCCTGTGCACAAAGCAGCCTCCATAAAGACATATCTATAAAGCAAGAAGTTCTGCGCTATTATCCAGGGCTTTATTTCCCACAAGCCCAACCAAGGCCCGGCCTCAGGGCAGCAGGGAGTAGAGGGGCAGCAGAGGTGTGGAATTCCTATCTCCCGATGCCCGGGGCATGCAGTTTTGGGAGCCGGGCGGGTATTTGTTTTCTACATTTTAGCCCTGCTTTGGGCAAGCAGAACTAAATGTACAGCGGGGAAGCCGCCACTTGTTTTGTACAAGTGATCTCAGCGATGTCGCCGATATCACTGAGATCACTTGTATGAGATGTTTGCAGCCTGCAGGTCTGCCATTCTCCATTGGGGGTGCATTGAGGAACCTGGCCTTGGGGCAGCAGAGAGGAAATCCGGCCCTGCTTTAATCCTAATACTATTCCTAAGCTGCTGGGCTAATTATCAGAAAAACTAACTATAAGTCAATGTACAATAGATTGCACTGTGCAGTGCAATTTATTATTTATAAAGACATGGTTTGATGTTGTGTAAAAAAAAGTGGCCTGCACAGATCCTTGATCTCAACCCTACTGAAGATCTTTGGGATGAATTGTAATGCTGATTTTGAGTCAAGTCTTCTCATCCAACGTAAATACCTGACCTCTACCTGACAAACTTTTGGCTATATAGTGATAATACATAGCTATAACTAATCATTTTTGTCTCTTTGTTTATCCTAGGTCCAACCTGCCCAAAGAACAGCCACTATGAAGTCTGTGCATCAGGTTGTGCTCCAACCTGTCTATCTCTCTCCCCTCCATTGGGATGCAACCCTATATGTTCTGAAGGATGCCAGTGTGATGACGGCTTTATACTTAGCGGAGGAGACTGTGTTCCCATTTCCAAATGTGGCTGCAGATACAATGACAAATACTACCAGATGGGTGAAGTATTTTATCCCGACGGCTTCTGCAACCAGAAGTGTGTATGCACAGAGAGTGGAGCTGTAGAGTGCAAGGCTTTCACTTGTGGGGCCAACGAAGAGTGTAAAGTGATTGATGGAGTCCAGAAATGCCAGCCAGTGGGCTCAGCACAGTGCTCCGCATCTGGTGACCCCCACTACATTTCATTTGATGGCCGGGTATTTGACTTCCAAGGCACTTGTACCTACACCTTGTCCAAGACTGTGAAAAACAATGACAATTTGGTTCCTTATGCCATCAACGTGAAAAATGAAAAATGGGGCAACGGACTTGTGTCTGTCACTAAACTAGTGTCTTTTGATGTCTACGGCTATAATCTCATTCTTCAGTATAATGTTCAAGGTCTGGTTACGGTAAGTCATAGCAACAACAATGATCCATGCACCATCTGTTTGCATTGTATCAACAGAGTCACTGTATGTTACCAGCCAGTTCAATAAGTGAATTGTGTTCTAGAGTCTCACAATGTTTGATGTTATGATGACGACTAGAATAATTGTATGCACTTAGAAAGTTTTTTTTTTTTTAACATTCTTTCAATGTTTCTCTTAAAATGTCTTACATATGTAGAAGTAGATTTTAAAGTGAACCTGTGGCCAGGCTATGAACATATGGTCACGATCTGGGATCAGGCTCAGGGTTCAGTAACTGAAGCAGCAGGCAATTCGTAGTATAACAGGCTGGGTTTGCTACACAAGCAGACGGTAGTAGTGGAGGAGCAGGCAAAAGCGTAGTCAGGGAACAAGCCGAGGTCACGAGCCAAAGGTATCAGGTATGTAGCAGGAGACGGTGAGAGTAGTCGGTGAATCAGCAGCCAAAGGTCGGTACACGGGTAGCAGTATGAGGAGATTGTATCACAGAGGGAGCAGGAAGCAAGATAATGGCAGGAGCACAATAGTCTGGCAAACAGGAAGTGCAGAGGCGTGGCTTAAATAGGAAGTTCAAGGGAGGAGCAAGGAGTTCAGAGTTCCGCAGAAATTAGGTTTACCTGAGGATTACACAGGAGATCAGGCAAGGAGCTATCCAGGGTTCTAAGGTGGCTGAGTAGGTAGAACAACCGCCAACTACAGCAGAGGGCCTGGGTTCAGATCCGGTTCCTGACACATACACATATATGTTACAATACTTTACATATCACATATTCTTAATAGGCAGTAAGTAGGCTTTAAAACAAGCCCTCAGTGACCTACCAAATGGTAGGGGGTAGCAGAATGAGCTAAGTCACTGTTAAGAGGGTGAGAGTCACTGCTGGAAGGGGGAAGTTGAGTTGCTGACTCACTGCTGGGAGTGGAACCAAGTTGCTCAGTGACATCTTGGAGGGGGAAGCAGAATAAGCTAAGCTGCTGAGTTACTACAGGGAATGCGGAGAAAGGTGAGTCCACCTGCTGGGATGGGGAGTTGAGATCCTGAATTACTTAACTTTAGTGCTTCTGCTGTGACCTTTAAAGATGATTTCTCCACAGTGTCTACTGCTACAGAGGTTCAGTGAGGACTTGTCTGAAAGTTTGTTTACTGTTTCTGAATATTATATAAATACTTGAATGTTCATAGCCTGGCTACTGGTTCACTTTAAGGCAAATAAAGCTAAGGACTGATTTTAACATGCACATAATTTGTCTATCCTCACAGATCAATGGGGTGAATTATAACATCCCAGTAAATTTGGAAGATGGCAAAATTCGGGTCTACCAACACGGTATTAGAGTGATCATTGAGACTGACTTTGGGGTTCAGGTCAATTATGACCTTGTCTACCATGTGATAGTCACTGTGCCAGGAAACTACAAGAATCAGTTGGGTGGTCTGTGTGGTAACTACAATAGTGACAAACAGGATGACGTCCAGCTTCCGGATAAGACGGTGACAACAGATGCTACTGTATTTGGATCCTCTTGGAAGGTCCAGATCCCCGGTGTCGTGTGCGACAATGGCTGTGGTGGTAGTGGCAACCCATGTCCATCATGTGACCAAAAGAAGATAGATATCTTTAAAACAGAGAACTACTGTGGATTCCTGAAGAAGGTTGGAGGTCCTCTGAGTGCTTGCTATGGTACTATCAATCCCGATACTTACTTCAACAACTGTATCTATGACCTGTGTGCTGGTGCAGGCAATGGGGACATACTTTGTCAAAGCATTCACAGCTATGTTGCTGCATGTCAAGCAGCTGGGGTCACCATTCAGCCTTGGAGAACTGATGCATTCTGCCGTAAGTTGAGTTTTTACTTTTGCATTATTTCTTTTACTTCTTACAGTTTAATATATTATCTGAAAATGGCTATATTTTCCACTGAGTTTTACAAAAATAATGTCCACAAATATCTTAATTTCTCATATTAGCAATTACCTGCCCGGCCAACAGCAAATACAAGGTTTGTGCCGATGTGTGCTCCTTAACCTGTGCTGGTATTACTGACCCTGCCAAATGCCCCACCACTTGCTCAGAGGGATGCGAGTGCAATGATGGCTTCTTCTTTGATGGGAAGAACTGTGTGTCGATGGATAACTGTGGATGCTTTGAGGATGGAATATATTATCAGGTGGGTACTTTTAAGGCTATCCCATCATTATAGAGATGGAGAGTTTAAGGGGGGGGGGGTTCATTTGTGGTCTGTGTTCCCAATAGGGATAATTTCCATCTTTTTTGTCCCCATGACAACTTGTCACTATAACAAGAAGTGAGGGGAATCTTCCCAATGGGAACACAAACAGTGGTAAAACCCAGCAGTGCCCTTGCCCTTCCCTGCTCGTTTGTTGTGTCATATGTGTCTTTGAGGATGGAATATATTATCAGGTGGATACTTTTAGGGCTATCCCATCATTATAGAGATGGAGAGTTTAAGGAAATTTCATCCAAAAAATTTTTTTTCAATTTGGATGGAGTGGGAAAGGGTTAGAATCTGTGGGTGGTTTCCATTTGTGGTCTGTGTTCCCAATAGGGATGATTCCCCTCTTTTTTTGTCCCAATGACAACTTGTCACTATAACAAGAAGTGAGGGGAATCTTCCCAACGGGAACACAAACAGTGATAAAACCCAACAGTGGTTCTTGCCCTTTGGTTTGTTTTTCCATATGTGTCTCTGTTAAAGAAATGTCCCTTCAACTCCTGTCTCTGGGAGTGCGGGGGTAATCCCACCAATAGCGACAAGACAGAAATAAAAAAACTAACTGTGGTTCCAATGATTCCTTCCTCTGTCCAATGCTAAGAATAGATGAAGTTCCACTTTAAAAGATTTATCACAGTGGGAAAAGCATGACATGCTGTAAAATAGCTAAATGGCAGTAACACGTTTAATTTGGGTACTCTTTAGAAAAATCAATCAATCAATAAATAAACAAAGGGTTGGAACCAAGAGGGGTGGGTAAACCCAAATAAGGGGATTTCTAAGAGAGATCAACCATTAGATATTTTACAGTTCTCCTTTAGCCTATTGATATCAAACATGCCCTTATTAAACAAGGGTTATCAATATTCTATATTATCATGCACAGTATTTCAGCCCATTTGCAATGGAATTTCATCATGTTATTTACGCTGTGGCAACATAATCATTTTTCTTCTCAAAATACATTGCTACAACATATTTCTCTTTCTGCTCAAATAGCCTAATGAGCAAGTCTTATCGAGTGACTGCAAAGAAACTTGCACATGTAGCCCTGTGGGTGGGCTTATCTGTGAAGACACTGGCTGCGCAGCTGATGAAGAATGTAAGATTCAAAATGGAGTCGTCAAATGTGTTAACAAAGGTAATGTTTTTAAATTTTGATGTACATTTTACAAAAATTGCCACAACTCTACCTCCTCTCCTTCTCTTCCTTATAACTTTACCACCTCCTCTTCTCTTTCTCTTTCTGTGGGGGTCCCCCAAGCCTCTGTCCTTGGGGTCCTTCTATTCTATATCTGCAACTCCTCCCTGGGTCAGTAGATGACCTCCCATGGCTTTCAATACCATCTCTATGCTGACGACACCCTACCCTACTGTCTCCTCACGTATCACTAATCTACTTGCTGACATATCAACACGGATGTCACACCACTTCCTCAAACTCAATCTGTCCAAAACTGAGCTTGTAATATGTCCTCCTCTCCATGCCCTGTCCCCCGAATACTCCATCACAATCAACAGCGCTACAGTCAACCCCTCTCCTACAGGGTGCTTGATGTAATCCTTGATTCTGAGCTCCCCTTTCAACCCCACATCCAATCACTATATAAATCTTGCCAACTCAACCGCCGTATCATTTCCAAAATCCGCCCCTTTTTAACAAACGACACTGCAAACCTTCTACTTCACCCCCTTGTAATCTCTCACCTTGACTACTGTAACGTACTCCTTGTTGGCTTCCACTAAACAGGCTATACCCCCTTCAATTTATCATGAATGTGGCTGCCAGACTCATCCACCTTACCAACTCTTCAGTGTCCGACACCCCCTCTGTCAAACCCTCCACTAACTACCACTTGCTGAACAAATTAAATAAAAAATATTAACAATAACATACAAAGTCATCTACAACTCTGCCCCAACCTACATCACCAACTTCATCTCAAACTATTACCCAAACCATCTTCTCTGCTCTTCTAAAGACCTCTTGCTCTCCAGCTCTCTCATCACCTCCTACCATGCTCACCTCCAGGACTTCTCCAGAGTCTCTCCCATCTTCTGGAACTTCCTATTGCAATCTGTCCGCTTCTCTCCTACTCTGTCCACTCTTAGGCGATCCTTGAAAACTCATCTCTTCAGGGAAACCTATCCCACCTCAACATAATAACTGCCCTTTACGTCTTCCATCAGCTCATCCCACACAGTTATTACTTTTTGTATCACTTGCCCCACCTACTAGATTGTAAGCTCTCATGTGCAGGGCCCTCCTAACCCTACTGTATTGAAATTGTATTGATAACTGTACTGTCTCCCTCCAAGCGCTGATGGCGCTATATAAATCCTGTATAATAATAATAATATATGTTTTTTTCCTTTCATACATATATATTTTAGATCCATGTAAGACCATCAAGTGCAGAGTCAAGGAAACATGCAAGGTTCAAAATGGGGTCCCAGTCTGTGTCCCAGATTATACAGGAACCTGCTGGGCCTGGGGAGACCCCCATTACCATACTTTTGATGGCTACAACTATGACTTCCAGGGCACCTGCACATATATCCTATCTAAATATGATGGTAAAGATCCTGGTTTGGTGCCATTTACTATCGAAGAGAAGAACGACAATAGAGGTAGCCAGGCTGTGTCATATGTTAGGACTGTCACCATCTACATGTATGGATTCAAGATCACCCTTATGAAGGGAGAATTCGGTAAAGTTAGGGTAAGCAGTCCTAAACTATTTCTCAACATATTTTTTAACATTGTATTTAAAATTAAATATTTAACACCATTTTCTTAATGTGTAGCCAGTTGTGGATAATTACATTAAACTGGACTTGTTTAGCAATGTTGAAGACATTTTACCACTCATCAGCATGGCTTCCCCCATTCATATAAGTGAAAGGAGCAGACCCTAGCATTTCTACCCACATTGGCAACTCAGTCACCTTGGCATTATGAAATGTGTCAAGGCAGATGTTGTACGTAATTGTCCAATAACGCGACTGGAGGTGTAATAAAAATGGTTCTAAGTAATATAATCCAATAACATATTCCATGAACTAATTTGTCATGGTCGGGGTGTGGATTCAAAAGCTTTATGGTGCCATAAGGAGGGCAGGGGTTCATTTACAGAATTTCTTTACTTAAGGTATAATTTGCTGTAGTAAAGATATAGGGGACATGCTATTATGAAGGTTCCCACCCCCGTTAAGGGCCTTGTCATTCACATATAATGCTAATATATCACCTTTCATTTCATCTGGTTTAAAAATAAAGCTTGTTTTTCATCGCTTAAACTGTTCTTATTCTATGCTCTTTCACTCAACAGGTGAATGATGTCATCACCAACCTGCCTTCTGCTTTGTTAGATGGAAAGATCTCGGTAAGCATCAGCGGCTCAAATGCTGTTATTCGCACAGATTTTGGTCTACAGGTGACCTATGAATATAACTGGCATGTTGTGGTCACACTCCCAAGCAGCTATTATGGCCTTACGCAAGGTCTCTGTGGTAACTTTAACGAAAATGCCAGGGATGAGCTCATCACCCCTGATAACAAAGTAGTCACCTCCATCATTGACTGGGCCAAGAGTTGGAAAGTCAATGACCGTGATCCCTTCTGCTTTGACCATTGCCCTGGACTTAATTGCCCAACCTGTGACGATGCAAAAAAGAACCAGTACGGAGGTGAAAATCAATGTGGTCTCATCAGCAAGGTTACAAATGGGCCTTTCAGAGAGTGTCATCCAAAAGTTAACCCGGACAACTTCTTTGATAGCTGCTTGTATGATGTCTGCATTAACGGTGGATCAAAACAGTTCCTGTGCCAGGCCCTCGAAGCCTATTCAAGCACCTGCAGGAAACAAGGAGCTAAAATATATGACTGGAGAACACCATCTGGTTGTGGTAAGCAATAAACTATTTCCCCCAAAAATGTATGTGTTCTCATTGTGAATGATGATTTTGTTATATGATGGAATCCTTAAGTTCTCCTTTAATGTCCAATAACCTAATAAAAACATCTTGCTGGCCGCTGGGTTAACTCATAAATGGGTGAAACGTAAAGATTTATGTTTTTATTTTTCTAATTCTTTCTCCAAGGATTCCGATAATATATAAAATTGATTAAAATTTCATCTTGATTCTGCTAATAATGCCAAGTTTGTATTGCAGACCCTCATGGGTTTTCTACCTATTGCAAAGCTAGTTTAAGTGTCATTTTGGCAGATCATAATAAAAAAGAATCCCTTCAATATTTCTTTCCGAAATGGCAAAAAAAAAAAAAGAATTCCTAAGCTGCCAACTTTTTGTTTCATTTGCAGACTGGTCAAAGAATCATTTTTACTATATCTTAAACCCGAACTTCGTGGAGGTTTCAAAACTAACCATGAAGTTGGGTTCTACCCGCACTGCAAGGATTAAATGCTCATTAATGTCTAGGGTACCAACAAAAGGCAGTTTTACTTACCTTGCCCCTCGCACCCCTCGCACCCCCATCAGTCTGTGCTTTCCTCTTCCCTCCCATGCTCCTGGTTGTGGGCGGGCCCTTGACTGCTCGGTTCTGCACAGTACATGATGATGACAGAATGCCTATAACTGGAGAAGCTTCGGGGGACCGGTCCCATGGAGAGGGGGCAGTCTGAAGGAGCAAGGGATAAGGTAAGTAAAAATGCTTTTTAATGGTACCCTAGGCAAAAACAACCCTTGTAGTACATTTAGAGCTCCATTGCAAGGGTGGTCTGAAACAACTTTCCCCAGAATGCAGCCATAATTAAGTCTTGTACATTTTCTCCCTATGGAAATAGTTACAGGCTGCAAACTTTGCTACTTACCTTTCCTTATTGTTCTATCACAGTAATGAATTCAATATTTTAAAAGGTATTACTAGCATTTCCCTTAGAGTTCAATAGTTATGGTGTCCTCTTACCAATCATGCATGCATACATACAGCAGCTACTGGCAAACAGCGTGATCATCACTTTGCTTGCCTGATGGAGGAACTGATATGGTTCCGAAACATTTGTGATGCAAGAAAAGACGGGTTGGACGAATATTGGAGTGCCTGTGACTTCTTCATCTATTACCCTTCTCATAATAAACCACAAAACACAGCAAAATTAATCTTTAGAGCCCCAGAGCATTGAAGGTAAAGAGTCACCATCCCTCTGTCAGCCATTCTTAGGTTAATTACGGATGAGAAGTATGACTCTTCTGTTTAGTAATGCCACGCAGCTACCAGTGGGATCATACTGAAACGGTAGTGGTTCCAAAGGACCCCTTATTGGTTCAGCCAAGAGGTGAATCAGTTCAAATGTTTTCAGTATAATACAGGACAAACCAATTCACTAGACAATCTGCATTTGAATAAACAAAAAATTCAGAGACTCAGAAAACTTGAGGGTTTCAAAGCTACTGCCTATGTGGAGCCTCTAAATTTTTTTTTCCACATTATGCCTTACTGAAAATGAACTTTGATGGCCTCCATTTTACAAATACCTTCAAAAACATCAAAGTAATCAAGCAAAGGCAATCAAAGTAAGCTATTTCGGGTATGTCAGGGTATTTAAAATTTGGATACCCTAAAAGGACACCATTAGCCACCCAAAAAACTGTAAAACATTGCTCTGACATATGTGCATATGTCATATGTGCAATTATAATCAAAATCTATACTAACTGGGGTATTTTCATATGGATTTCATATGGTTTATATTGACATTATTCTTTTAATTAAAAAAATACATTTTAACAAAATATTGATCCTACTTGTAACAATCTATATATTGACTTTGTTTACATATATGTATTTCAGTTAAAGATTGTCCTGCAAACAGTCATTATGAGTTCTGTGGTAATGCCTGTCCAGCCACATGCACCGATCGCACTGCCCCATCCCGGTGCACTGAAGATTGTGTGGAGACCTGTCAGTGTAACGATGGCTTTGTTCTTAGCGGTGATAAGTGCGTTCCTACTTCAAGCTGCGGATGCTCCTACAATGGTGCCTACTATCAGGCCAATCAAGAGTTTTGGGCTGACGAAAACTGCCGTGTGCTCTGCAAGTGCGACCCAAGCCTTGGCATGGTGGTTTGCAAGGAGAGCAGCTGTAAGCCAAGTGAGCGGTGCATGGTTACAAATGGAGTCCGTGGATGTCAACCCTTAAGCTTCTCCACTTGCACAGGTTCTGGAGATCCTCACTACACATCCTTTGATGGCAAGAGATATGACTTCATGGGCACCTGTATATACCAACTGGTTGGCGTGAGCTCTAGTGACCGCTCACTGGCCCGTTTCAATGTTAAAGTCCAGAACAACAATCGTGGTGGGAACAAAGCTGTGTCCTATACTAAAGTGGTGACCTTGGAAGTTTATGACACCATCTTCACACTGAGCATGGACTATCCACGTCATATTTTGGTATGTATTAACATTTAACATTTTCAAGGAATAGATGGCTGGGTATATGGATGAATTAATTCATGAATACATACATGGAGAATGGATGTAGATCAAATGGATGGGTGGTTGACGGAAAATGTATTTAGATAGATACAAAGATTACCTGTTCGGTAATTTTTCCTTGTTTTTTAGGTTGATGGCATTGTCACCTCTCTGCCATTCTACTTTCAAACCAACAAAGTGGTGGCATACATCAGTGGCGGACAAGGCATTATAAAAACAGATTTTGAGGTCACTGTTATCTATGATTGGTCCAGCTATGTGGCGGTCACCATACCTAGCACTTATACCAATGCTGTTGAAGGCTTGTGTGGCAACAACAACAAGAACCCCAACGATGACTTTAACATGAAGGATGGAAAACCAGCAGCAAATGCAGTTGCTTTTGGTAACAGCTGGAAAGTCGGTGACGTTCCTGGTTGTAGCCCTGAGTGTACTGAAAGTTGCCCTCTTTGTACAGAAGCACAAAAGCAAGCCTACAAGGGTGACAATTACTGTGGACTGATCATCAAGTCCAATGGGCCTTTTGCTCTGTGTCGCTCAGTCATTGACCCAACACCTTATTTCAATGACTGCATTTTTGATGCCTGCCAATACAAGGGACACCCGTCCTCATTCTGTACGGCCATTGGCCTTTATGTGGCCGCATGCCAAGCTGCTGGTGTGAAACTTCTGGAATGGAGGAAACCAACTTTCTGCAGTAAGTAATCATTGAGTAGTTTTCATTTCCCCTACATTTTAGTTAAAATTGGCAAAATTGGGGAAAAAATTGTATCATTTCTGCAAAATGCATTGGAGTCCACGTGGAAAGTGAAAATTTAGGAGTCTTTTGTTGGCATTTAACAAAAGGAAAAATGGACACATATTTATAAAGCAGTGAATGTGACTTTCAGTGCTTTACAAATGCCCCCCTGCCCCAGTGTCATCATATACAAAAACATCTGATTATATATTCTTCGTACAATTAGCTTTAGATTTACCAAAACCAAGTTATGTGAGGACCTGCCTATATATCCAACCAATCTCTATCCAACCATGAAGGCACTTGTACTACATATTATTACTGGATCTAAAGACAATTGTACAGTTAGACTGTAGCATGTGCAGTGAGCTTTAGGGTTCCTTCTAAAGGCACCAGTTTATAAGGCATATGTTTCTTAAAAACATATAATTTATTAAGTGCAGATATCAAGTAAACAAATAGCATAGAATTAGAAACAATAGTTGTGCTTGGCTTTACACCTCCCCATATTCTAGGGGCACCTGCTTAGGTCATGTGTACCATACTTTGCATAAACCATAAGGTATTAAGGAAAAACATACAAAGTCTTTATTTTCATCAGACAATGAATTGTTGTCTGCTGTTTCCAGCCCCCCAGGTAAAAAAAAAAGGATCTGGAAACAGGGAGGGCACTTGAGCATATGCTGTGCTTGATACATCAACACTAAGAGATCTAATGTGGAAACAGTTGCGACTTTTAGTATAAAGTACCAGAAGAGCCAATGGGCGCTGAGCTTGCTCCTATTTGTGTCTCCCTGTGGCCCTCCCCACCAAGGGTTTTCCCCTCTCTCCCCACCATTAGGTGTGCATTATTCAATTTACAGTCCCATGAAAATACTTCCTTTCCAGAGGTAAAAAAGTGTGAAATGCATTGAACAGGGCCACTACAACTCTTCCTCTGATGAAAATAAAGACTTTGTATATAGATGAAAATGTTTCTTATGGTTTTACAAAGTATGGTACACATTAGTGGCCTAAGGAGGTACCCCTAGATTATGGGGAGCTGTATGTAAAGCCAAGCACAATGGTTGTTTTTAATTCCATGTAATTGTAATTTGTTTGCTTGATCTGTGGACTTAAAAAAATGATATGCTTATAAGAAGCATACGTCTTATAAATTGGGGCCTTCAAAGCCAAATGGTTTATGGAAAAGGAGGGGAGCAGTTCTAAAGGGGTGTGGTGCCTGGACCACTTATCTGCCCAACACAAATTAAATATTGACTTTAGGTTTCCCTCTAAAGCAATTCACAAAATGTCTTACGCGGTGTGTCTTCATCTGTTTTTTGGATGTACAGTATTGTCAGCAGTACTGAGTCATTGTGGCACTTGGGGAAGCTGCAGCAGGTTTTGTGGTCTGACCTGGAGTGGTGTAACCATCCTTGTGACTGAACTACTAAGGACTGATAACATGTAATAGGGTTTCTAGGTGTTTCTGTCATAGTTAACACTTATTTTCTTTTCTCTTAGGTATGTCCTGCCCTGTAAACTCTCACTATGATCTGTGCGGAGATTCCTGCCCAGTCACATGTTTCGGGCTCTCTTCACCCACGGGCTGTGACTCTCCTTGTAAGGAAGCCTGTTATTGTGACAACGGTTTCATTCTGAGTGGTCACAAGTGTGTGCCCATCCGTGACTGTGGCTGTGTCTACCAGGATAAGTATTACCAGAAAAATGAGGTCTTCTACCCACAGGGTCAGTGCAAACAGAGGTGCCAGTGTGGGGCCGACGGCATAGTTAAGTGCCAGTCAGAAGCCTGCGGACCTGAGGAAGAATGCAAACTTGCCAACGGAGCTTGGGGATGCCAACCTAAGGAGTACGGCAAATGTGTTGCCTCAGGGGATCCACATTATACCTCCTTCGATGGTCTCAAGTTTGACTTCCAAGGCACTTGCACATATATCTTTGCAAAGGTTGTGATTGATGATCCACGACTTGTCAACTTTTCCGTGGTTGTGGAGAATGAGAGTTACGGCAATGGCAGAGTGGCCGTGACAAGACTGGTGGTGGTGTATGTGTATGGCTACAAGATTGCCATCGAGCGAGACATGAGATCTAAAGTGAAGGTGGGTGTTTTCAATTTCATTTGTTCTTATAGATTTCTTCTTTTAGATTGACATGTCCACAATACAACCTTTTATCTTTTTATAACATCTTTAACAAGCTTTTATTTTTGGTTGCCTGGCTGACTAGCTTCAGTAACTGTCTCTGACCCATTGTGCAGATATGAATTTTTAAGTGTTCTCTGACTTTCTAGTTTTGCATATGTGTTCCATGTTTTCGAAAGTATTAAAGCCTTCTCTGGTGTGGAAAAAAACCTCTACTACCCACACTGCAAGGGTTAATTGCTCATTAATGTCTAGGATACCTATGTAAAGGACATTTACTTACCAAATCCCTGTGTACCTGGCAGTCAGCACTCACATCGCTTGACCTACACTTTGGCTTTTGAAAGGTCCCTCAAAGTCCACATGTATAATGCAGGGCTATGGGCCCTGTATTGTATGTGGTTATGTCAGCATGCCTCCAACCACTGGAATGCAGGGTAGAAGAGTGCCAGTTTAGGAGCCTGTGGGAGTGGGTGGGGATAAGGTAAAAAAAGTTATTTGCATAGGTCCGCTAGACATTGACGAGCAGTTACACTTGTAGTGCGGGGGGTAGCGCCACTGCAAAGGAAGTTTGCTTCTGCCAACCACATATGTAGTGTTTCTCTAGAACAAACTGTTTTCTGTTTGGATCTTACGTTTTGGCAAAGTCATGTGTTGGCTTTCTGTGGCTGTATCTACCCATCTTATTGGTGGTCAACCTCTACTTTTTTTCCACTTCATCTCTTTCCATCATATTGTCTTTTCCACTAGGTTAACTCCTCTCACAATATGTAAAAAAAATAAGACAACTTCAGACTAATCATCTGGGTTTCTAGTGAAAGGATCTATCTTTTACTGTCCACAATATTCTTAGAATTCTTTACCAACATCGAGGTTCAAAGGTTTACTTTACTTGAAACTTTATCTTTTCACAGGTTAACGGAGAGCTTGCCAAATTGCCATTGAGTCTTGAAGATGACGGTATTGTCATTAATCAGGAAGGAGCCAATGTTGTCCTACAAACAGACTTTGGTTTGAAGGTTCTCTATGACACAGTTTATTATGTTGTCCTCAGTATTCCCAGCACTTACCGTGGTAAGATGGGCGGTCTTTGTAGCAATTACAATGGCAACAGCAAGGATGAATTCCAGCTTCCCAACGGACAGGTTGTTAAAAACGTGAATGATTTTGGTGCTTCCTGGAAAGTCAGCATTGCTGGTGCTAAGTGCAGCGATGGCTGTGAAGAAGGTACGTGCCCAGTATGTACTGATGCCAAGTTGCAACCATACAAGGCAAAGTCCTCTTGCGGCATGATTACAGACCCAGCAGGACCGTTCAAATCATGTCACTCCACGGTCAATCCAAATGAATATTTCAACGATTGCATCTATGATGCTTGTGCTGTTGACGGCAAGGACAACATCGTGTGCAAGAGTATTCAGGCCTATGCAGCTGCTTGTCAGGCTGCTGGCGTTACCATCAGCTCTTGGAGAACCGCTGCATTCTGTCGTAAGTACAAAGCAAAAAAATATTTTATTGGGGTCTATAGTGAATCAATCAAGAATCAATAAGCCTCAACTGTTTTGGTTTACATGCTATGCAGATATTCAATAAAAAAAAAAACTTTTTGAGCTAACCCTGGCCTACTAAAAATAAATCCTTCTGAAAAAATTATAGAGCAATATAATTGAGCAACTCGTTGTCTTTTACAGCCATGTCTTGTCCGGCCAACAGCCATTATGAACTTTGCACCAGAACTTGTGAACAAACATGCTCTGGTCTCACAGCACCAACAAAATGTTCAGATAGATGCTTTGAAGGCTGCGAATGTAATGCTGGGTACGTCCTGGATGGAGATACTTGTGTCACTATGGAAAAGTGTGGATGTGTATTCAATGGAAGATACTTAAGTGTAAGTACTTAGTCGTTGATTTTCAATTATTTTGCTAATCAATAATATGCACTGTACACTATAAGTCCAAATTTCTTGTGGACACATGACCATCAAACCTGCCTGTTTGCACAAATGTATGTGGACACATCTTCAACTTACTGAGTTCAGGTGTTTCCAGTGAAGGTTGCTGCTAATGCAATAGCATACAGTCATTTTGGACCATTATGGCAACAGTTTAGGGAAAGACCTTTTCTGTTCTACCATGACTGTAACCAGGGCCGGATTTTTTCTCTCTGCTGCGCCAATGCCAGGTTCCTTAATGCGCCCCCCCCCCCC